AGAAACAGGATTACAGCTGCAAAGCAGAGAAAGATGGTGAAGGAGGAGATTGCTGCTCGAGTTAATGTGTGTGTTTATATGAAGTGGGCTATGGCAGATCACAACTTGACTCAATACATATTTGAGATCTGGACTACATTTCATCATAGTCAAAATAATACAAATGCTAACCAGTAACAATAGGAATATGGAGACCTGAAATACATTTCTAGACATCCAGAATGTTTATTCTATATGTAAGGAGGGTAATTTTATTTGAAATGGGCATTTTGAAAAAGAAAATGTTCAGATATCAGGAATACATATTCAGTAAAACTAACGCGTGTGAAGAGGAAGTCTAACAGGACCTGCTCATCAGCTCATGGGTTCCTCCTCAGTTTGATTCAGTCTTCCATTACACAGTAAGTATTTGGGTATTTGCAGCAGGTTTGGATGTTATTATCCCAATAAATGGACGTTATTAGCCATTCTATCAGTCCCATAGAATGGCTTCAGATTGTGCCAGTAGGCTAAGAAGGTTACCACCACTGAATGAATCCTAACCTTAAGGTAGTTCCTTTCCCCTGCAGAATTAATCCATTTGTGTAATCTAAAAATAATTTCAGTAGTTCTGGATGTACTGTAAAAATAAGTAAATAGAAATGAAATGGTCCCTCTATTGCTCATATTAAACAAATCAACAAATACATTTTATATCCTGTCAACTGAGTTCCTACCCTATAGATATTTAATTCTCTGTGAAATAATGTTGATAATTCTTTAATAAGATCCTCATGAAATGGACATGCAACGCTTTTTTTTTTTTTAAACCTAATGTGTTTAGCCGAATTTGGTTTTAAGCACCAAACTATGACATAAATCTGACTAAATCAGGAAATATAATCTGATTGGCTGTAAGGAGAACAGAGGAGGGGATACTCTGAGTTTACTGAACATAACCTGCTACCGGCCAGGTTAGCACTTGGGAGAATGTTACTACGATGACTGACACAGAGGTTGAGTAAATTCTTTGTGAAACTGAAAACTCAGTTTCCCTGATTTCAGGTTTAGAAAACTTAGTTTTCAGTAAACCTGTTTCGTAAAACGGACCCCTGAAAAGAAAAGGATGGGTTCTTTTTCTTGTTTTGCTCTTTAACGTTTAGAGAAGTTACACCTTAGAAGTTCTTCACCAGTGATGTCTTACAGGAAAATTGCTGGTGTTGCACAGCCTTCAAATCCCAATGTTAGAGTCGGTGTAAACACTATGCAAACTAAGTGTTTAGAAATCTGAATTCAGTAGACGTCCATTTTGGTTTGGCCCCTTTCAAACAGTTAACTTCAGCCAAGTAAGTTGGAATAACACCAAATAAAGATGCCAAGGGAGTTATGTATTGTAATCTAGGTACTTCTTATGTAGAAGCCTTAACCAAAACCTCCTTAACAAATCAACTATAAAGTTCAAAGAAAAGGGTTTGAATGCAGGCAATTGCTGTCTGAATATTGCTATAATAAAACATTTAAGTGCAGTCAGAATAACACTTATCTTTCAACCCAAACGACTTGTTAGGGACTAAACAGTTCAGCAAAGACGAAACAAACAGACGTGCAAAGCTGTGCCGACAAGGAGACATTTGTATTCAGTCTTCAATAATAAATTGTTTCACAAAGATCAAAACCAGAGGCTTAAAAGTGAGTCTGGCTCCCAGAGACTTTAGCCCAACTGATCCCTTTTCTTTCCAGCTATAACAGATGGTAGCTCAGGAGGGTCCAAAACAAGGTGTTGGCAGCAGGAAAAGGCCTTCTTTGATTCTCATCCTTCGTTATTAACACTTCCCTCAGAGTCTTGAGCTGTGGCTTGAGAACAGCTGCCGGGGGTTAAACTCAAACCTAACAGGAGAAAAATAAACAAACAAGTAATATCTGAATTTTGAATTTGGATGTTTCTGTTGTAACTTGTTTAGTAATGATTTATGTACCTGATAATGGTTTGAAAGACGATCTGAACTGAAAATCTCAGCATTATATGTGTATGTTGTACAGTTTCAACGTGATGTCTGTTTCATTAAATGTCATTGCTGCTAATAAAAAAACAATGTGTGGTGCATATCAGCCAATACAGCATTTTAATACACAAAATTGTGCCATGTAAGATGAGGAAAGCTGACCAACATAAATAAGTCACTGAAGGATATGGATCGAATTTATCATTCTGCACTGTGTTTAATGCTAAATAAGTTTTATTATATCACTCATACGTAACCTATTGGTGTAAAATGTGTCACATTAAGTGCAATGACACATAATGTGCATTGCTTGAATGAGAAAAAAAGACCAATGTAATGTTTCATGGCAAAAAGAAGATATTATGCTTAAAGAGTAGCATATAACATACTATGCATTGTGTTAACCAATTACTGCTTGTTAATGGGTCGATCCATGTTTGAAAATGGAGCCTAGGCGGAAGTTCAACTGAAGAAACTATTGCTCTCCTGCATCCACCTGCGATACAGCCAATCAGCTTTGAACCACACTTCCACGAAAGCCAATCAGCATCCAAAGTTCATCTTAAAAAGCCTCCGATCCGCAGGCTGTGGATGCGCTGTGACTTCATTCAGATGACACCAATTCGACCCACCTCCAGTCCCTCCTCCACCATCGTAGCTAAAGCTTCATCAGAGTGTCATTCCTCCCGGTCCGGCAGAAGACCAACATGTTAAGCCTGGTTCTGCCAGAGGTTTCTTCCCAATGGGGAGTTTTGCCTCTACTGTCACTTCATGCTTGCTCATCATGGACAGGTTCTCTCAACCTGTGTTATCCAACTGGACTTCCATCTTCCAGGTCCCTTATTGAAGCTCGAGTATCAGCTCACACAATCCACTGGATCTCCCCATAAGCTCAGCATACTGTCTAGCTAACCAGCAGTCTACAGACTGACCAACTTCATCTATCTCGACTCCACCACCAGTTTAAGGCTTGGGGGGAAACAGCCCTATTCCTTGCTCCTGTTTATGCATATATATCAAAATTAAGCACTGTGTTTCCTGCCAAG